GTAGATTTGGGTATAAAAGCTCGTTCGCTAGAGATAGATCTGAAGATGTTCAAATCTTTGATTATGATCGTTTGTTATTGGATGCCAATTATAACAATGCTGCAGATGAAGGTTTTAGAGAAGAAAATATTTCCAATAATGATGGTCTTGGCATCGATGAAGAATTAAATTATGACGAAAATCAAGATATGATATCGAGTGGGATTTTTTTTAAAAAAAAAACAGGTTCGTACTGTACATACAATTCTGCAGTGTTGTTCTACATACTTCTTCGATGATTGAGTTTTTTATTTCAATAATCAGATAAATTGCAATGAGTTTTATTTTTTTCATTAAAAACTGAATTATTGAAATTACAACTAAAAATTATTTTCAATTTTAATGCGCAATTTGTACATTTTTGATAAAACAAAGTTTGCAACTCTTTAAAAAATATATAATAAACGATCTCTAAATTTAAAAGGTTTTATAAAGTATGGCTACCGATTTAATTTATATATATTTATAAAAAAAAGTCCATGTTAAGATATATAAGTGAGTACTATACATCGAGTGATATTATATATTCCCAAGTGCAATTAATTGGTCTTTAGTACCTGGGTATTTTACTGTACATTAATCGGTCCTTAGTACCCGGATGTTTTATTGTATATTCCCAAGTGCAATATCGGTCCTTAGTACCTGGGGTACTTTACATTCTAAGTGCTATTATTTTCAATTTATCCATCTTTAGTACCCGGGTACAATACATTCTAGACCTCTGAAAATCGTGAGGGGTATTATAAAAGGGGGGTCTTTTAGTCCACGCTATATGGTACTTATTTTCAATTGATTATATTATACCTATAGTTGTTAGATGAAACCTTTGTCAAAAGTTGAAACCTCAAATTCTTCTGATGAAAGTCGAAACCCTTAAATCCTTATGACGAAAGTTAAAACCCCAAACTTAAACTGACAAAACCCTAGTGCTCCCACTAAAAAAAAAAAAAAAAGTGAATATTACTAAATCCGGAATCCCATCAACTCTCAACTCACTGACAATAACGTCGTAGACACCACATTTCACTGACAATTACATACTGACAAGTTCATTTCACTGACAGTTTATTTCACCGAAGCTCAATATCATTAGAGTTAGGTTAGAACTAGAGTTAAAGTTAGTGTAATTTATAAAAAAAAAAATTTGTCAGTGAAATGAGCTTTGGTGAAATAGACTGTCGGTAAAATGAACTTGTCGATAAATAATTATCTGTGAAATGTGGTGATTGTCGGTAAAACAATACGGACCCTAGTAATTATTATATCCTATACGATCATTTTCAAAGTAAAAGCCCCAAATTATTTGTAATCTGGGATTTGGTATTTACGACGATTTATTATTATACTGTAGTTTTGTCAACAAGTACAGTAGATACTTGGGAGCCTTAGTATAAAATAAATAAAACATGTAAAGATATAACTTAGGATTAGGACGTTAAGATTATAGGTTATAGAAACAAACTATTGTAACTTTCATTTCTTTTTGTATTTTCGTTTTACATTGTTTGGATTCCATGCCGGGAGGATTAAAATCTGCGCTCTATAATTTGTTATTTCCTTTTAGGAGTTTATAAAGAAAGTACTTCGGATTATTGGTTAATGTACTTTTGAAAACGTAATGTTTCACTAATAAAAAATCATCTATTAATAACTCCAACTATTTGTTGTTATATAATATACTATTTAAAATAGCTTTATTCGATATATAAGTTCTAGCCAAAAGATGATCAACTTTAAAAAGACTACAAGTAAATTCTAAACCTTGAAAAACTTTATATACTATTGTTTTAATAAACAACTTCGCTATAACGTTTCATTTTTAATACAGTATATTCTAGAAGCAATCTATAGATCTACAGATTTGATAATCCTGTTTAAACAGGTTTGTTAATCTCGAATAAACTATTTTTAGATTGTTTTGATTTTGTGTAACAAAATAGTTTTTGCCGATTTTCTCAAAACCCATGATCAGACAAATTCCCTGGTTTTTACTTTTGGGACCCCATATGATTAAGTGCCCTGATCTTTGTTAATGTCAGATTCCCTTTTATAAGTGCCCTGATCTTAACCTTATTAACGTTGGACCCACTCTTATAAGTGGTTTTGTTAATGTCAGTTCTCTCTTTCTGCTCTGATCTTTGTACCATTGGCTCCCTCTTTCTACCCTGATCTTTTACTTTGTTAAAGCTGGTCCTCCTCTTTTTATTAATATAACCTTTCTAATATCATATAACCACTAACATTACATGGTTCTGTATTGGCTCGAGAATATTTTTAGAATCTCCACTATCACTATAAAAACTAGTGAGTAGTAAATTTATTTGATTACATTATATCAAGATTTACTAATACTAAGTTTTTTTTTTTATTAGTAACAACTAACCAGTGACTAAAAGTGAAAGACTTACCATGTGTTTTCGCTACTTTTTTTAAAAATTATAAAGGTATTAGGTTGTTAGAATATAAAATGAAGAAATCACAAATTATATAAAATATAGATAGTAAAAAACCAAAGAATTATCTTCAATTGAATCATACCTTTTTTTCTGAGTTAGTTCAAATTCAAATGCATTTAGAAGATTTTTCTTTATGTGAAATATATTAAAATCAATTAATTGCATCTGATTTTTTATATCAACTTTTTTTAAGTTCAAATTTGCCTAGTACTAGTAATCGACGTAGTAATAGAAAAAGAAAAATAGATAATGAGCAGGCTCGTATGGAGCATGCTGAAATAGAAATTGAAATAAATGTATATAATAGCATGCAAGCTAATAAACAAACTACTGAAATCGCTATGCAAGTTAGCAATGAAACTTATAAGATTGGTATTCAAGTATCCAATGATATGTTATTTACTCTTGAAGCTCACATTAAACTACTTCAATTATAGTTAAATTTAAAAATATGTGAGGTGGAAGACCTTAAAAAACAATTAGAATATGTGTACTACTATGTAATAGAAAGTTATAAACAAGTTCAAGAAATCAATAAAATAAATAAAAAATTAACTGAACAAAATAATGTATTAAAATAAACAGGGGAAACATTCAATGTTACACAAAAGTTCATGTATTTTCACATGATAATCAGCCAATCAACTTATAAGCTTCAAAAAAATAGAAAGTTCAAAAACAAAGCAAAATTGAATACATAATGAATTTAATTTCAGAATATACACCTAATATTTGCTACAAAATAAATGATATATCTTTATTTTTGTTTATTTAATTAATAACCTAACTTCGAAGAGTCATAATTTATAGAAACATGTAAATAATCTACGTCTAATTCTATATCAAATATATAATAATAACCCAGAACCCAAATATACGTAGTATGTGTAATATCTATAATGTGATATTTATGTTTTGGATTATGCTATACGTCTATATGTTTTTCGCTTGTCTTCAAGATTATATGCAATAAAAAAAAATTCAAAATATATGTGGTTAATTCATATTATAATATACTGTATTGCTTTGGCCTTTTAGAAGTTTTATTCATAAAGCACCTAATAAAAAAATCCTATATACTAAAACTTCAATATATATTACTCTTGTTAGATCGTTACCTTTAACTTTTTTCCAGTTTTTACTGCTCAACATCTAGCATTCTTAGTTCATTGTTTCATAATTACTTATTCCTACATATACTTTTGTAGGGCAACTGGCTATATAAAAAGTTGTGAGATTCAAAGGAATTCAACTGATATTGTTAAAGTATAGCACAAAGGCTTCAATTTTACTTAGTAGACTTGTCATGTTTCATAGAGACAAGCTGCTACACAAGCCATGTGAAAAAGTACTTTAAAATGTATAAATTACGATTTTTATGAATTGTGTAATGTGTTACTATTTTTAGATACATTTCCCCCTGTTGTTAAAATATAAATGAGAAAATTGATATAGTACCCAAATAAAAGAATTGATTCCATAATTCAATTGCCAAACAGAAACGCCAAAGTATTTACGATAATATTGAGTTATTGATTTTAAATAGGCAGCAGTTTTCACTTTGTAATTTATTAAACTTTGTACTTGATAATTGGTTAGCTAACCATAACCCAGTTCTTGTAAATTTTATTAATACCTTTAGGGTGCTGGTATTCATACCCCCAAATTTGGTATTTGTACCCCCTGGCAAAAAATAAAATTTTTTAAAGATTCAAGTAAAGATATCTCGATGACCACCTAATCAAATTTAATGAACTTTTTTTTATTTCAATTCTAT